TTAGATACTTCAATTAGGAAAATGGTCTCCAGTTCCATCCAAATTGTTGCAAAAGTCCTTAATTCATCCTCTTTATGGCTGAGTAGTACTCCATAGTATACATATACCACATTTTGTTAATCCAGTCATGAAGTGATGGACACTTGGGTTGATTTCATATCTTTGCAATTGTGAATTGTGCTGCAATAAACATTTGTGTGCAGGGGTATTTTTGATAAAATGACTTCTTTTCCTTTGGGTAAATACCCAGTGGTGGGATTGCTGGATTAAATGGTAGGTCTACTTTTAGTTCTTTGAGGAATCTCTATACTATTTTCCATAGAAATTGTACTAATTTTCAGTCCCACCAGCAGTGTATAAGCATTCCTTTCTCTCTCCATCTGCACCAGTGTCCATTGTATTTGGACTTTTTAATAAAAAACATTCTAACTGGAGCAAGGTGATATTTCATTGTGGTTTTAATTTGCATTTCCCTGATCATTAGTGATGTTGATCATTAATTCTTATGTTTATTGGCCATTAGTCTATCTTCTTTTAAAAAGCTTCTGTTCATGTCTTTTGCCTACTTTTTAACAGGGTTGTTTTTTTCTTGCTGATTTGCTTGAGTTCTTTGTAGACTCTGGTTATTAGCCCTTTATTGTATGTATAGCTTGTGAGTATTTTCTTCTATTTTGTAGGTTGTCTATTTGCTCTGTTGATTATTTTCTCAGCTGTTCAGAAGCATTTTAATTTAATCAAGTCCCATTTGTTTATTTTTGTTGTTGCTGTGATTGCCACTGGGGCCTTCTTCATAAATTTTTTGCTTAGGCTGATATCTAGAAGAGTTTATGCAAGATTTTCTTCTAGCATTCTTATGGTTTCATGCCTTGCATTTAAGTCTGTTATCCATCTTGAATTAATTTTTTGTGAGTGGTGAGACATATGGATCCTGTTTCATTCTTCTGCATGTGGCTATCCAATTCTCTTAGCACCTTTTATTGAATAGGGCTTTTTTCCCCAGTGTATGTTGTTATCTGGTTTGTCAAAGATCAGTGGGCTGTATGTGGATGGTTTTATATCTGGGTTCTCTGTTCTGTTTCAGAGGCCTATGTCTCTATTTTTAGGCCAATACCATGCTGTTTTGGTTATTATAGCCTTGTAGTACAGTTTGAAGTTTGGTAATGTGATGCCTCCAGATTTGTTCTTTTTGATTAAGATTGCTTTGGCTATTCAGGCTCTTCTTGGTTCCAAATGAAATGCAAAATTATTTTTTCTAGACCTGTGAAATATGACGTTGGTATTTTGATGGGGATTGCATTGAATCTGTAAATCACTTTGGATAGTATGGACATTTAAAAATTTTTGATTATACCAATCCATAAGCATGATATATTTTCCCATTTGTTTGTGTCATCTGCGATTTCTTTCCTCAGTGTTTCATAGTTCTCTTTGTAGAGATCTTTCACCTCCTTGGTTAAGTATATTCATAGGTATTTTATGTTCTTTGTGGCTATTGTTAATGGTATTGAGTCTTTGATTTGATTCTCAGATTGACTGTTATTGGTATAAAAGAATGATACTGATTTGTATACATTGATTTGGTAACCTGAGACTTTGCTAAATTTATTTATCAATTTCAGGAGTCTCTTGCTGGAGTCTCTGGGGTTTTCTAGATTTAAGATCATCTTCGGCCAAAAGCAATAGTTTGACTTCATCTTATCTGATTTGGATACCCTTTATTTCCTTCTCTTCCCTGATTGCTCTGGCAAGGACTTCCAGCACTATGTTGAATAGCCATGGTGACAGTGGACACCCTTGTCTTATTCCAGTTCTTAGTGGGAATGCTTTCAACTTTTCCTTATTCAGTATGATGTTGGCTGTGGGTTTGTTATATATGGCTTTTATAATTTTGAGATATGTTCCTTCTATGCCTAGTTTGTTGAGTGTTTTTATAAAAAGTGCTAAATTTTGTCAAATGCTTTTTCTACATCTATTGAGATGATCATATAGCTTTTGTTTTTGCTTCTGTGTATGTAGTGGATCACATTTATTGATTTCTGTATGTTGAACCATCCTTGCATCCCTGGGATGAAGCCCACTTGGTCATGGCGGGTTATTTTTTATGTGCTGTTGAATTTGGTTTGCTAATATTTATGTGCTGTTGAATTGTGTTTATTGAGTATTTTTGCATCATTATTCATAAGAGATACTGGTTTGTAGTTTTCTTTTTTTGTTGTTTTTGTGTTCTTTCCTGGCTTTTGTATCAATTTTTTGTTTTTAACTTTCTCGGCAAGTCTGATTTACAATGTGTTTTTCAGTGTATTTCTCCTTCACTGTATCAGTCAAGATCCTTGCAAAAAAAATAGATGGCACATGCAAAGATTTTAACTGAAGAGAGTTTAATGAAAGGACTGTATGCTGAGGTGCAGATGAGGTTAAGTGACCCCGAAAGGATAGTAAAGCCCAGATACTAGCAGTAGTGGAAAGCTTTCAGTCTCAGCATTAAACCATTTAAATTGAAGGGTCAAGGATTTCTAAGTCTACTCAGAACTGGAGCTGGGAAGGAGGACTGATCTAATATATACCCTGACCCCTCTCTCCTTTCACTCTCCAATCTCTTGTTGACGTTTCCTTTTGGCCAAATTCAAAGGAAAGGTAGAAGACAAGAGAAGTCAATCTCCTGGGTCACATGTCAGGGCAAAGAATGGTTCTGGAGTTTTGTTGAGCGTATAGTGAGATGACAAGACTAATCAGCATATCTATTCTTTCCCTTTCCCTTTTACTTTCAATTATACATTCCGGAAGGAAGGACAGAGCAATATAAAATCAGTTCTCTCTTAGCTTCCAAGTACCAATTTTGTGTATTTGCTGGTCATAGAGCAAGAAAACTGAATGTAAGTAAGCTCATGAGGGCAGGAATTTTTGTTTCACTTACTGCCATTTGCTCAGTGCCTAGGACAGTGCTTGGAACATAATAAATGCTTAGAAAATTTTAGTTGAGTAAATATATTCATCTCTATTGTGCCAGATACTACATATACATTATCTCATTTAATTATTACAATAATCTGTGTAAGTAGGCAAGGCTGCTAAGCATGGTTATACAGGTAACATGGGGTTGGGTAGGTGTAATAAATAATCTAACAGTCACCATCCCCATCCACCCCAAGCCTTAAGACCAGGCCCAGAGCATTGTCAACCCACTGGGAGGGATACACTTCTGCAAATAGGTCATATTTTTTAGACTTTATCCACCTTATTGATTTTTGTACCTAACAAATCTCTGTAAGTTTTGTTATTACTTCTCCTTTATATATGAGGAAGCTGAGTTTCTGAATAGCAGAGACTGCAAAGATTATAATCCAATCTCCCCATTCTCTAAGGTCCATGAGTAGTGAAAATAGGCACTGGTATTCTGCACAGATGAAGTACTTCCTATGGCAGAAACAGATGTTCACTTGTGGACTTCTCTGTAATTTTCAGGAAATATCAGGCCCTCATTCTGGGGTCTGGATCTGGGTTCTCTGCAGCACAGGAAGGTAGGAGTGGTAAAGACCCTTTTCCCTTTTAAAGGATTCAGAAACTTTGAAACCAGTGTGCATCCTAGTCAGGGGTGTGCTACTTGCACCAGCATAGTTACTCTGGGATGAAGAAAACTCAGAAAACTATCCAGATGTGGGAATTTCTAAGGTACTCCTTACACTTGAACTTAAGGATGAATGAAGGTATTATACAAGTAAGTTCCTTATGTGTGGATGGACTAAAGAAACTCTATTTTTGATGCTCTGAAATGTCTTTAATCCACAATGCCTCAATCCTATTAGTACTGCAGAACACTCTGATGGTTCCCATGCCCATCCTGACCAGGTAGGCCTGTCTATCACCTATACCTCAGCTACCATCAATTATGATTCAGGTGACTGAAAGCATGACAGGTAAAAAGCAACAGAAAATAAAGCAAAACTCTGGCTTCATCCCTTTGAGTTAGATTTATGCCAGAATAGCTAAAGACATGAAATAGAAAATATGAATGTGAAAATCCTACCTGAAGCCTAAGAGGGATGTTAGTCTCCCAGGTTTAGCGTTTTCCAGTAACATAGAAGTCTGTAAAACACCATCCCATTACCTGCCTCATAACATATAGGAAAACTGGTGAATACAACTTGAATGAATTTTCATATTAAAATGTATAATTAAGTTACTTTGCATGCATAGCCTCTAAATCATTCAAATTTCTGGTCTAGTGGGGAAAAAGCATATATTCATCTGTTATTTTTAGCAATGATTAACGAATACTCAATATCAATGTTTCAATAGTGTTTTCCTGTAGGTATCTGCTATCCTAAGTTACTTCTGCACCTTTCCTTGGTAGGGCTGTACTTCTCTAACATAAATGTCCCACATGGAGGGAACTAAATCAACTACATAAACCCGTGCATTCAGAGAACAGAGTTGAGCTGGATACAGTGGCTTGGAGATGTGGTGGAAGGAGCCCAGAGACCCAGGGGAAGTGCCTTGGCTCCCTAGAATTGCAAGGAGGAAACAGCATGGGGCTGGAGCTCAGACAACAGGCGAACACAGGCAAGCAAAGCTGGCTTATAAATTTGATTAAGGTGGCATGAGATGACAAGCCACTGTGAGACTCAACAGAATGGCACAGGAGGGCGACTAGAAGCAAACAGAGCAGGAAGATCTGCACCATGTCAGGCAGAGGCACAGATGCCCAAGCAGAACAGCAGCAGTCCCTGCAAGGTGTGCTCAGATCCAGCTCGGCACGGCCACCTGTGAGGAGGGGATGATGCTGCCCAGGGCACACACTGCGGGCAGGAAGCTGAGAACCACTGTGGACACTCAAGACTGAGTCTGACTACCTTGCTGCTTCTAAGAGATGAAGCCATTTAGAATTTCATCTATTTTTACAATAGCCTGTGTGTGTGTGTGTGTGTGTGCGCGCGTGTGTGTATGTGTTTATTCAAACAAGTGAATTAAGAAGCCTTTCATTGGATGTGTAATGTACTCACAGTAGTTTCCAAATAAATGGTGTCACTCTTCAGGTAAATCACTCCGAGGTTTGGGCCTAGTGCAGATGTTCATTGGGGCAGGGAACAGAGAGCGGCTGCATCTAGATCAGACAAAAAACAAACAAAAATCAGGTTGTTAAATAAATAGGTGACAGTGATCATTTATTTTGATATAGAACTTTGGGGCTTAGTTGAGAGGGTGTTTCTGCATCTTTGCACCAGAGAATGGCAAGTCAGGGATGGGAGAACAGAGCGGGCGTTGTTCAGGCTCCATTTTCAGTGTTTTTACGCGAGTGCTGATGCGGCCTGAGACATCAATAGCACCTTATCAGCACAGATGGAGCTGACGTGGAAGCGAAGTTGAGGGCGAGGGCAGGGGAGATGGCGACAGTGTCCTTCAATCTTGCCACAGCCAATTCTTTTCCTGGTGTCCTTATTTTTTCATTCATTATACTCATTCATTCATCTTTGATAAAAATATATTTGTGATGTAAACATGATGTTTTGAGATATGTATACATTGTCGAAGGGCTATATCAAGCTAATTAAAAATATGCATTATCTCACATATTTATCTTTTTTGGTGAGAACACATAAAATCTACTCTTAGCAATTTTCAAGCATACACTATATTGTTATTAACTATAGTCACCATGATGTACAATAGATCTCTAGACTTATTCCTCATAACTGAAATTTTCTATCTTTTGACCAACATCTCCCCAGCCTTTGGTAACTGCCATTCTACTCTCTGCTTCTCTGAGTTCAACTTCTTCAGATTCTACATATAAGTGAGACCACGTGGTATGTGTCTTTCTGCACCTGACATTATGTCCTCCAGGTTCATCCATGTTGTTGCAAATAACAAGATTTCCTTTTTTTTAAAAAAGCTGAATAATGTTCCATTAAGTACTTTTTACCACATTTCTGGTATTCTTGACTCCACTTCAGTCTCTTCCTCTATTGCTCAGTTCTCACCTATTCAACCAGGCCCACTGAGCTGGCCAGTTCTGAGCTTCTCTTGCCTTCTCTTTGCCCTTCACTGCAAAGTCTCCATTTCCTTCCATATCTTCTAATCCTGGGTAGTTCAGCCTCGCGGGCTACAGAATGGATATTGTCTGTCTCAGAGCCACAAACACAGTGGTCTTTTTCCAGACCCTGCCCCTTTGGCCAAATTGGGCTTCAATGACCACTTTATTCCTGTAACTCTCCTCCCTCTGCATCAGGACACTGAATTATCCTGATTTTCCTTTTACCTCTCAGTTCACTCTTCTGCCTGCTTCACTGGCTTGCTTTCTTTCTCCTCTTCTTTAAATGTAGATATTTCCTCTCCTCAGGCTTCATCTACACCTACCCTCCATGACCTCAATAATCACTTCTACATAGAGAGCATCCATATTGCTATCTCTAGTTATTGCTTTTCTGGAGAGCTCCAGACACACTTTCTCACTAACAGCTGGTTATTGGTTCATTCATTTACTTATTCATTCGTTATTTATATGGCATCTATTAGGAACCTGGATGAATAAGATAAAATCTCTAAATAAGAGAGAATCTCTAATTTTGGAGAAGCTCGCATCTCCATCAAATACTGTACGGGCTCTTCTAATTCACAAAGTTTAAAATAGAACTCATTGCCTTTCCCTCAAAATCTGTTCCTTCTCCAGACTTCCCATTTCCTGCCATAGGATTATCTCCATCAAGTTACTTGAGCCCACAATTGAGGAATCATCTTTAATTCTTCCTTTTTTTCTTTTCTTCCCACATCCAACCCCCTGCCAAATCCTGTGGTTTTTACACTGGCCAGGACTTCTTTACTTTTTCCAGTTCTCTTTACTTCTAGCCATCCTTCACACCAATGTTTCATTAATTTTTCTAAAGTACTATTCTAAACACATCACTCTTTTGCTCAAAATCCTCTTTGCTTATTGGATTAAAGTTAAACTTCTTGATTTGGCATTCAAGGCTGCTATAATGTGGCCCCAATCTGATTGCCCACTTTTATCTCTCCACTCCATTCTCCAATCCAGTAACGCCCTACTCTTTCCTACCCTGTTCATGGTATTTTCTCCCCTTTTCCAATATCTACATATAACTTCTTTAAGGGCCATCCAAATGCCACCTTGTTTATAAAGCATTTCCCAAAGGAAAGTACCCTTTTTGAATCAAACACTTTTACACACTACTTTCTTTGTACATTCTACCAACTCTAATAATTATTTGAGTAATTTGTCTTTAACTTCATAAGCTCCTTGAAAGCAGAAACAATTTTACTCTGTGTACCTTCTAGCAGGCAATGCCTTGCACATAAGTTTGTGCTAAGCATGTATCTGCTGAACTGAATTTAAAAGGAATAAAGAATTTTGCTCAGAGTCATGGAAACTGAGACTGGAAAGACCTTAAAGTTCATCTATTCCAACCCCCTCATTTTTCAGATGAAGAGATTAAGGGAACAGACTTGCTCAAGGTCACATCTTTGGTAGTGGCTGGGCAAGGGTAACTGACATAAAAGGTCACAAATCTCTGTGTATCTATCAGTGCTTACTTGGCACCAACAGGCACAGCAGACCATCAACAGTGACCAGACCAGACAGTGAGGCTGGGGTAGCCTGCAAAAATATACTGTGTTCCAAAAAATAATGAACTTGTGTCACATATTTGCTTCAACAAACTGAACTAAAATGTATTTTTTATAGTTAAATAATGGCTAAAATATGAGGGTGGATTTAAAAAACAAGGAGGCAAACTTCGGTAACATTACCAGCAGAAATTATTATAATAATATGATAAATACCATTGAGGTGATAAACTCAGGCTGAAATCAGAATGAAGAAATTTCACACACTTTGGCTTTAGCTAGAGATCTTGGTGAGAACATGCTGCAGTAATTCTAGGTTAAATTCATAGAAACATAGACTATTGGCAATCTGCTATTGTGCCTGATTAACACTTCTTTTCCTATCTACCACTGTCCAATATTCATCCTCTAGGTTTGTTTACATTCGTCCTTATTTTCCTTTCCTTATGTTACTAATTTACTTGTAGAAATGCATAGATGACTGCCCGCAAGCCTGTTCCAATTTCCTTGCCTTATTCTTCTCTTGTGGTAGAAGAAACATTAATTGTTTAATTTGCTCTCCATCCTTATCCTCAAACAGAATCGTTTTCTCTCACCCAAAGATGAAAAGCCTAACAAAACATGCTGTGGGGAAAATAGTGTTTACCTAGGTGAGGAAAACAGACTTTTCCAGGGAATCTCAGTAGTTTTTACTTGGCCAGAGAAGCTCAGCTCTAAATGTTAGCTACACTATTATTTCATCTTCCTCTGCCAAGTGAGTGCTTGACTCACTGTTACTCACTGGAGGAAAAACTTGGTAGAATTAATCAAACTTTTTTTGGTCAGTGTGGGGGAGCCATGCTATGCACAGAGCCATCCGTTTGCTAGTGACACCCCGGCAGCCACACAAACAGCAAACTGGGCTCAAGAGCTCTTCATTGTTTTTCCTCACCCATCATATGGCTGGACAGATTATCAACACTTCACTAGACAGAACCTCCTCCTCTTTTTTCCTGTGGCAACTACATTAAAATGATAAAGGAAATCACCGATCAATAGTATTAATACATTGCAGGGAAAAATTATCTGGCAACATACAAATCCTTCCTGTAATTAGATAAGAGTACATTTTAAATATACCTAATGTTTGGTTTATATTGTGCATTTTATAAGTTAGTAGAGTTATAATCTTCTTGTCCTTTCATGTCCTTTCATGAAACCCTTCTTCCTCAGCCCCACATCCTGCTGTTATGATCTTACTTTCATTCTTTGGCAAACTGTCACCCATCTCCATCTTCTTATTTCCCCTCTTGCCTTAGTGCACACCTGAGGGCCTATTAATCAGAACCACTGCGTGGTGTGTCATGTTTTATCGCTTGCAGTATGGATACACTCTAAAAAAGTCTCAGTGAAAGTGACTTCATGGGGTTTCATGTTTATTCTCTTTTAATGACTTCCATATCCAGTATACTCAGTTTTTAAGTCAAAAGATAATTTTGAGGGGCTGCTGGTGCCACCAATTCTCCCTGGAATGTGGAAATGCAACTGTTTTCTTTGCCTCTTACATTATCACTGTAATAAAGAAATCTGCTTTTGGAACCCCGCTGGCAAGTTTCTTGATGGTGTCAGAGGCAGGACAGACAGTGGGGTCACTTCTCTTCAGCCTGTTTTGTTGTTGATATCTCTGCAGATCTGTCTTGGAAGGCCCTAGAGAGCAGAGCTATTATGTAATACACTGCCACATATTACTGTAAGGAAATTTCTGCGAAGGCCTTCTTTCAGTATAACCTGTCCCATTCTTAGGAAAGCACACCAAGCCATTCTAAAATTATAGAGGGGGACTTCCTGATTAAAATTTACAAAAAGATAATAATAACAATAGCTACCAATTATTGGCTGTCTAAATTTTATCAGAGAGTGCACCAGGCATTTTTGGATATAAATACATTCTCATTTAATCCTCATAGCAATGCCATGCTGTAGGTTTTAGTATATTCATTTTACAGATGAGGAAAGTGAGACTCGGTAAGCTCACGTAATCGGTCCATGATGAGAAAGCTAGCAGATAGTGAAGCCAGAATTTAAAGTCAGAGTAATCTGAGTTTAAATCCAAACCTAATCCAAACTCAGATTTCTCTGACTTTAAATCTGTGCTCTTTTCGCTATGCAATTGTCCCAACACAGCATGGACACATTTCTAGTTCCCTCTGTGATTTTTGCACAAGGCTGATGCTTACGTTATTTCCATGATGGTTCAGAGCCACTGGAAAGATCTGGGAGCACAGACCTCAGGTGAAGGAACTATTTCAGAAACTATCAATAAGTATAGTTCCTTGCTACCTCCTTTTTAATTGAAGATTAGAATGTTTTATATCAGTCTTCTCAGACTTAAATGAACAAATGAATCACCCAGCATTTCTGAGTCAGCATATCTGCTATTCTGAATTTCTAACAAGCTCCCAGCTGATGCTGATGCTGCTGGACTGGGTACCATAGGTCTTATGTCTGACACTCTCCTTCCTACTGAGGGTTGTTCCTGAAGGAGCTGCTCAAGCCGAATAACTTGGGTAACGGCTCACATGGCATGACTGGCTTCTGATTCTGGGCCAGTTTGTCGGGTCATCAGGCATTACACAGAATTCAAGGAGTTTCTGGCATAGAGCACATTGTAAAAAAATCATTTTTAAATCCCCCAGGGCTTCCCTCCCCTTTGGAAATTCAAAATGATTATGTCTCTAACATGTAAAGTTCCTATTTTTTACATTATTGTTAATTTTAACAATAATTATCTGGTAATAATTCAAATAACACCTTTCCTCTGAGAAATTCAATGAGCTTTACTAACCTTAATTGTCTAACAGCAATTCCCAGGTGTAGATAAAGCTGTCTCAAAGATCACAGTAAATTTAAAATTGTTCCACTTCCCTCGTTTCTTTGCCCCAAATGTAGTGGTGAGTTAGTGGTGAGGGGTTACTAATTGGCAAAGACCCACTATCTCATAATTTGAGGCATAGGAAATTTCATAAAACAAGGGCAAATCTAAGAAATAATTAGCAGAGAGGTGATTATGGGGAATACAATGTTAGAGAAAAAAAGGAGGAAGAGTTAAAAAGAATAAGACTAAGAAAAGAGAAAGTAAAATCACAGAACTAGCTGATGACCTTAGATGAGTCATTTAACTTCTAGGTAGCTCAGCTTTTCCATCTGTAAGAAGAGGAGGTTGATTTTATTATTTTTAATGTCCTTTCAAACTCTAATAGTCCCCTGAGAAGAAAGATGTGGGAATTAAGTAGCTCATCAACCTGTTAAACTATTCAACCTGTTAAAGAAACCCATTCGACTTTCAACTTTTTAACTAATTACCTGAAACAAATTTCCAAGTCTATATCACTAGTCCCACCTCTCTGGAAACTGCTGAGAAAACTATTTAATGAATAAGGCACCAAAGCCAAGACATCATGGCCAGACAAACTGATAAAGAACCTCATCTTCAGCTTTTTGATGCCATAAGCGCTGTTTAATTTTTGAAATTTTAGTTCCTTAATCAACCACTAGTTAATGCCCATGTCCAGAAGAAATACCTCTGATGGCCTGAAGACCCCAGGGATGGCCCTGCCAACAGAAGGTGGAATCACAATCCCACTGTTTGTCACATTAAATCTATGTTAATTTTCTCCATAGAGACCTCTTGATTTCTCTTTGACAATTCACAAACTTTGTTAATAAGAGTTGTACATCCTGTGAGCCTTAGCAATATCAGGTATAGTTGATTCTCACTTTTAATAAGAGAATTTTTGGATCAGGGTTATATATATACATATACATATATATATGTAAATGTGATGATTTTCTGTTTTTAATAAACACCAAGTCTGGTCCTAGAAACTCCTTCTATAAGTCATTGACACTGAAATCTTGCTGTCCAGAACGCCTGCCACAGGTGATTGTTATGAGGTTATTTAAAACCCCATAATAAGGATTCTAACATGAGCATGATTTATGGTACAGAATGTTCATTTGGCAATATCAGAGTTTTCTATACCTTGCCCCTTGTACCGAGTGTATTTTCTGGACTAACCATTACAGTTTGTGGCTAAATGGGAAAACAGGTACTGAGAAGAGAAACATCACGGTGGCATTACCCCAGAGAACACACTCTGTCACTGTCTCCACAGCGAACATCATTTCCCTTTTCCTCCTCCCATCACTTCAACAGCAATTTTTGCTACCATTAACTAAATGCCTACTGTGTGGCAGGCACTGTGCCTTTTCATATATAACTTCATTTCTTTGAAGGTGAGAATTATATTCCCATTTTATAGATGAAGAAGATGAAACTGATGCTTAGGAAAGGTACAGTTATTTGCCATAAGTCATGAAGCCAGAGGGTAGCAAAGCAGGGTTTAAGCTCAGGTTTTAACCACAATGCTCCAGGGTGTAACCTATATCTAGCTCATAATCACGGAACCACTGATCTCCTGTCTTCCTTCCACTCCTCATTTGAGGTCCTCACCAGAGGTTTATACTAGATTCTCCATCATGACCGTCTAATGCCTTCTGGAAACTTTTTTGAAACTTCTCAAAACCTCCTACACTTGATTCATGTTTTCCTCCTCTACATTGATTAATACTTTAATACAAAAACCCATAACCACCTCTTTTCAACACACCTTACCACCCTCCTCTTCTCCAGCTACTTTTTAGCCCTCATATTCAATCCAAATTATTTTTTTTAAGGTCTCACATCTTACCTCAAATATTACAAACCCAGCTTATGAACTCACTTTCCCTGATGCCTAAGGAACCTACTGTTTTTACCTGGTCCATTAGTATGCCATGGCTGGCTTCACCAGGTCCATTTTGACCTGACCCCATGATCAACCATTTTAACACCACCTCAATAACCCTTCAAACTTCCTATCTCCCCTGCTTTCCATGTGCAGGGCCCCTTTAACATTCCTCAACCGTGAATCCATATCCCCATCTGCCATTCACTCCTACTGTCAGCACAAAACCCTACATGTGCTCCTATCTGGACTCTCACTCCTGCCCATTGTTTCCAAGTACAACCTATGGTAGTTTTTCTTAGTTTGTTCTACTTTTATGAAGCCCCATTCTCCATTCTCTTTTTCAGTTGATGAGCTTGTCTCCTACTTTAATGAGAGGATCTACAACCTATATCATGCTGTGTGGTAAACCTGTTCACTCTCATCTTCTCTAATATCTCTGAATTTTCATCATTTTGCTTCCTCAGGGCACAGCTATATCTTTTCCCACATTTCCTTCTTATCTTGGAGGTTGTCCTCTTTAAATCTGATCTTATCCTTCCTTTTGGGATACATTCTCTGTAGCTGATGGCATATCCATTCCTAATAGTACTAGATTAATCATCACAACATTTTTTTTTTTTTTGTCCTACCTTCAACCCCTGACCATCAAAATCCTTATGGGTGGTCTGAAAGTTTGTTTTATAGGATATTAGAACTTCAAGATTCATCTCAAAAAAAGTTCCTTGGTCAAATAAATTTAAGAAACACTGCATACTACACGTCTATTTTGCAAACTCATAAATGCACCTAGGATATAAAGGGCCTGAAGACCCCATTTTTGTCCAAGTTTATTGTATTAAAGACTCCTCTCACCTTCCTTTTTAATGGAACACTCATTAACTTTAGAATACACTCAGGGAAAAAATACACTAATGCATTTTTCCTTGGTTCCAAACTCTTTAGCCTGGTCTTGTAAATTCATTGAATCTATGTCAATAAGCCCTCTCAGATTTCCTTTCTATCAATACTCCACTTGGTCTAAACCAATTAACTTATAGGGTCATTCTAAAAAACTCTGAGGCCCAAACTGACTTCTGCCACTCATTTAGTACTTACAAAAATGGTTATAGTTTAATGCCTGTTTTCTATATCATTGGTGAGAATGTAAATCCTCTTGGGTAAGACTCTAGTTTTATGTATTGCAGAAACTCCAGCACCTAGAGTAGCTCTTTGTGCATAGTAGGATGTTATATTTGTTACTGGTTACCATAAACAGAAATGGATGACATTGAGGCATGATAGTTCAAAGCTTGATTTCTATAGTTAATGGGACAGTTTAGGATGTTAAAGGCCCAGGTAAAATGTGCCATCACCTCATTGGGTAGAAATATCACCCATCATCATTGTCATCACCCCCACAAATGATACCATGTGTGTCTAAGGTGTTGGATAAAGGCTGGATATAGAAGAAACAAAGGCAGCTGTGTTCTTAGGTGAAAGTAAGAATCTGCATCAGTTGACAGCAAATGGGGAGAGGGTAAAAATAATCTAGGAATATCAAATGACCCATGAAAGGAATCACTGAAATAAATGCCTCTGCACAAATGTAAAATTATCATTCATGATCATTGAATCATGGTAACTTGATGAAAAGGAAAAGGTTATTTTTCTATACAAGGAAGTCACGGAGTCTTGTGTGAGGTCCATTGCTTATTACTCTGCCTGGTATACAGGGTATGTAGCAATCACTCGCAGCATGTGCTGCTGCCTTCCACTCATATTCCAACCCCTCCCTCTTTGAGTCAGTCTGGAGACACATTACACTGGGGAAGCCAAGGTAGCTTGGCAACCACTAGCACAACACAAAACCCCCAAACAGTGAATTCCATCTTTTCCATAAAATTCTTTTACTGCCACAACACACAAGAGCATACAGCAGGTTATCTCAGGCTGATGTCTAATAACTAGATATTAAGGGGCTTTGAGTTTTTCAGAGTGGATGTTATCTGAAGTTGGGACTTCATCTGTTCCCTAATAGTGAATTTGTAGTGAACCTAGGACTAGAAATTTGGTCTCCTAAAGCCTAGTCAGGGAGTTTATTATGTGACAGAAAGGAGTATAGCTTTCTTCTTTAAAACTACAGAACATATGACTTTCATATTTTAGCAGAAGAGAAAATACATTGCATTAAAGTATAGTTTGTGGAGTATTTTACTTTCTTTAGATAAAAAGAGGTATGCCAACAAAAGATGTAAGTAAAAACTACTTTTATAAATGAGAATGTTTACTTATGTTTACCTTAACATAGGCATAGATTAAAATAGGCATTATGTAACATAGGAAATAGTAATGGTAAAAGTAGATAATAAAATCGATAATGGTAAAAGATTTCATAAATAGAAAATTCTATATCAGTCCTTAGTTAAAATTCAAAACAATGTATCAGAGTATTGATTATTAGTAATAACCAATAATAAGTATTTTTAATTCTGGAATTTTTATTGCAGGAGATTATTGGGTGGGTAAAGCTAAATGGCTTAGATATTTTTCTGTCATATCCATACTTTAAGAGCTGTCTTTCTGGACAATTTACACATTTACAGTGAAATCGAAGGGGGGGTCTGCCTATCACGTATATAACAGGCCACTGGGGTAAGACTGCTGTTTTCTGAGAGCCGTGGGCAGTCTCTACAGTAAAGTATATGAGTTTCTTCTTTTCATAGTAAAAATAAATAGTTTATGTTCTGGATGAAGTCTGAGATCTCTGCATCTGTTTCCCGAATGTTAATAGAACTTAATCTAAAACCAAGGTTTTTGGCAGAAAATGCTTTTCTCTCCCAAAATGCCATGGTCGCCAACAAGCTTTGTAGCAAACCTGAGGCACAGCACTAGATGGACAATCAGAAGATCAGCCTGTCTTCCCGGATCTGATCATAACTAGCTACTAGCTATGGGACCATGGTCAAGTCACTAACTTTTCTAAGCCTTATTTTTCTTACTAATAAAATCACGGGCAGGGAATCAGTGAATGACATACTATCTTCAGACTATATAATCTCTCACCTATAAAATGGTCTTGACAATAATATGTGCTTTGGCTGTCTCATAAAGTTGTGGGGTTAAAATAAGCTGATACACGTGGAAGTACGTTAAATACTATGGAGTATTGAATCAACGTAGTCTGGAACAACCAGGAAAGGGTCTCCAGTGTGTGTGGGAACTGACAGCCAGTCTACTTCCATTCAGGTTTTGGGAGAAGCTATAATAGAGCACTGGCACCAGCTCAAAATCCCACTCCATCCTCGCCTCTCCCGGCACTCTGCAGAGCATCACTGGAGGAAAGTTCCTTGAGTGGGTGAGCCAAACGTTCGCGTTCCAGCCTCTCCGAGTTGAAGCCACAGAGAATTCTGAGCCACAGCACAGGTGACAATCACTGTTCCTCTAGGTATGTCTGAAGCACTGGGGAACCTTAGGGAGGGGAGTCAGACGTCACTGTTCCCGAGGCCCAGTTTTCTCCTGTACACAGCGCCAGCCCCCATGATTTCACCTGGCAGCCCCAGGAGACAGAAAAGATCCCGAATTAGCAGGAGCCTCCTCTGTTGATAACCCAAGTGCTCCGATTGAAAGGCAGAGGGTATCAGGAGAATGGCTGTACGGAGTCGGCATTGATTTCTCCAGCCTTTGTCTGTGTCTGGTTTCTGTCTCGTTTGGAGGTGGTTACTGTACTACAAGCAGCATGAATCATGTCTCTGTTAAAAAACAGAGCTTCAATTGTCTTACATAACCCCTGGTAACTGAACATCTAATAATAGCAAGCCATTTCCAGGTAGAGAATCTGTCTACCTCCCAGACATACTCTCTCTCTCTCTCTCTCTCTGCTCCCAATGCCTCACAGTAGAGTGAGAGAGACAGAGAGGAAACAGAGGGAGAAAAGGGACAGCACAATTGAATTTTTTGTAGTTTAAAATATATTGAATAATCATGTATCATGGAATCTGATGACCAATATGTTTAACTGAGCTAGTTTCATGAACTATAGGAAACAAGAATTCTTCTTTAAAGTATCTGAAATGCCAAATAGCCCCAAATGTATCAGATAGATACCTTCTTTAATACTATCCTGCTATAAAAAACCCCCAAACTCCAAAAACAGAGTGGGGTGGAAATTTCACTGAATTGGCTGCTAGCTTGCACTGGCTAGATTTAAATTTCAAAGGACTTTTTCTCTTCTTCTTTTTGTTTGACCAGAGAATGATGTTCCAAAGGACTGTGGCTACAGTCACTGCATAGAATTCAAGAGAGTGAAAAGCAACTGAAACATGGCTGCAGTGTCCCGCCCGGTGTCAGCCAGTGTTACCTGAGCCACTTTCCATGGGGGAAGTAACTGCATCTGAGAACTTCTATGTTTCCCATGAGCATACTCTCTGGATTGTACCATATGATGAGGTCTTTTCATACATGATCCTCACTCAGCCACTCATTAAGGTGATCAGCAAAAGTCAAAATAATAGGAAAGGCTGAAAAAAATGACTTTTAAAAAATTATAAAGGTAAGTTTTTCCAAACCATTCATTTTGGTAGAGAAAAAAATATAGAGTCTGGATAGCAAGTTTACAAGTCTATAAGGAGGCAGGAGGATCACTTGAATCCAGACTCCATCTCTAAAAAATGGTTTTGAGGAAAAAGAAAATCAGTTTATAGTGGAACATATGTGGTTCCACTTCCTCACTGCCTCAGCTTGACCATCCTAAGAAAAATCACTTCAAGGCTATGTTTTTTGTGTGTGCATTCCCAGGAGCCAAGTAGCTCTAGACATCATGTAAATGGCACTTGGGGGGGGAGACTTTATAGAAAATTACAGATGGAGGTTACATCCTGCCACTCATTCAAGCTAGGACCACAGAAGGAAACCTTTCTCCTCTGTTTTAATTGTTCAGGACCCTGAAACAGTGGACTAGACTAGTTCAAACCAAAGAATGTCTTAGGATATACCCACTTGGAGGACCAGCACCTGGCGGGTGCTGGTTCTACATGCTCTTCAGCTGTTCAGGGATATAAAAAGGCATGATGAGATAGTTATGTGTGGTGTTGTGTGTTCCCTCAAAATAGGGTTCATGCAGCCTATTTTCTTTTCAAATGCTCTCCAAATCCATAAACAGAAGAGTATTGAACTGAAGAAGGAAACGGGAGAAAAAAACAAAAAAGGGAGGAAGGTGATGGTCTTTGCTACATGCCAAAAGGACATGGCTTTTAGAGGAAATGAGTTCTAGGTTTCTCTCACCAATCTCCAAGCAGAACAGTAGGGATCTTGACCACTAAGAGTCACCCTAAATCACAACAGAATCACAGTGGTGGAACATGGCTGTTGGGACTAGACTCCTGTTGCTTATTTCACGTGCTCTGTCAATTAAATTGTTCGTAGAATTGATATGCTGATGGACTAAATGTTTTAATAAAATGGCCATGAGATACCATAATTTTCTTCACAAAAGGCTTTTCTCTCTAACTACCATACAATGCCGAATGGCTCCTACTTCTGGTAAAGCAGGAGGTTTGCCACTTCTCTTGGTCTCAGAAACCAGGCCTTCGCTATGCATCTGCGAGGTGAGTATAGTTACCTGAAATTTTAGGGTACTATGTCAGCCAGTTCCTTCACAGTGGTGTGTTTGGCACCTAAGCAAGGACTTGGTGAGCCAGACACATTTAAAATGTAAAAGTGAATGATTATATTATTTTGCTTTGCAACAATAAGAGTATTTCTGGATTATCACTGACAAGTAGATCATCATAGCCATATGTGGCACAACAAACCACACGACATTGTATCAGAAGCTTGTAGTTAACATTTTCAAATGACACAGAGATTTTCTTTTTAAAACAGAGAAATGGTAGATGCTTTTTTTTCACCCCTTTCAATAACCATTTATTGAACATCTATAGTCAGTGATGGACTCTTTATTTGCAGAAGGGAGTTGGGCTATGCCAGACTCTCACCATGTTCTTTCTCCTCTAACACTGAACAAAATATCAGTAAAACTCCAGGTATACTCATTTTTGAGAGCCATTCAGTATGTAATAGCTGGCCATACTGGTATAGTCAGAACTGGTGATACTGATGACAGTGGGAATGACTCACTTACAAAGGCACAGCAGTTAAGAACTTCTCACGGACAATTCAGAGGAGGTAAATGAGTAAATCTGGTCTCACCTATTTATATTTTTCAATAAATGTCTGGACCTTTAGAAACTTGAAAAATCTAATACAATCAAGCCATTTTTATAGGTATTAAAAGATTCATATAAAAAGGAGGTATATGTGTTGATCTAGTGGGCTTCTTTGTATATGGATACTACTTAGTATATGTCTGGGAACACATCTTTAACTTTTAGAATCGTTTATAGGAATGTGACAATTATTATAAAATAAACTCCACTCCAAAGAAATTAATCGAGAAGCCAGTTGATAATCAAGATATGCAAAGCACTGTTGGTGGAATAAGACAAAGTTCGTGTTTAGTATTCTCTAAAATGATTAGAGAGAAACTGAAGGGATTTCCAAGACACTGAAGAAATTACCAAGAAACTGAAGAGTTCACAGAGTGGTTTGGCTAAAAAGCATCCGAAGACTGGGGTCAGAAGACTGGGGTCCCCAGCCATGTTTGTATCTGTTGCATGACCTTGGGCAAGTCATGAAACTTCTCCCGAGTTTCACTTTTCTCATGCGCAAAGTGGGAGTGTTGGATTAGACGTTTTTTAGGATTCTTTCTAGTTATTAACATTTGATGATTTAAAGTAAGAAAAGATGAAAGAGTAATTCCATCTTCCTCTTCTTTTGGTACATACTTGTTTCTCCTGATCTATGTCTATGTAGTTTGCAGTGGGTGTTAGTTTTCTGGGCTCACAAAGTCACATAGTAAATATTCAAGTTATTTTTTCTTATATACATGGAAAAATAATAGGGGATTAATTCTTCCTTTCTTTGTGTATCACTGTCTTTTCTCAAATCAGACTCATGCCTAAGATAACACCATGATCATTTTGGCACTGATAGAGATTTTTCCTCATGCTCCCCACAAGGCCCTCATCCATGCTCATGCAAGCTTGTCTGATTGGGTTATTTCTATATTTACGTCCCATCTATTTTTTCTCTTCCAACTTGTTTATGAAATCCCTGGTAAGCATAAAGCTGCAAAAACAAAAACAAACAAATAAAACAAAACAGCTCTGTTTGAATAATTTACTTCAGTTAGAGCAGTACAAGAAAACATCCTAACGCTGAGGAAAAAAACCCAGCTTTTAAAAATACCCCAGTTATCTTAGAAAAGACAAAATAAAATGTTATATCAATGATAGTTTCGTATGTTGTTATTGTTTTCATTTTCAAATGGAATGCTACATATTGGGTTTATAGTCTGGTGTACAGACGTGGCTATTTCTCCCCATAGCGCTCAGGACAAAGCATCCTCAAAGCCAAAAAGGCCCAGAGTGAGCCGAGCTACCTTTTCATAAACAAAGGAGCTACACAGAAAACCCAATACCTGGAGCTTATATCATATCCTGACTAGGCACTCTGGTTACCCATGACTCGTTCTTTTCCATCTGTGTCCTGCTTCTTTGCTGGTTTAATTCCCTTCACCTAGAATGCCCTCTGTTTGTCTCCCTTTATTGCTTAGAATTCTCCCTGGACACAACTAGCTTCAGCCTCATTTCCAAGAAGCAACTTAGGTTGACCCAACTTGGGACCCAGTGATAATTTTATGGATAGCAAGTGATAATTAGTCCTTGTGATAACCAGAGTCAATGAGACCACATATCTAAGAAGTGCTGAGAGAATACTAGAAAAAAAAAGATTGTCGAGGGTTTGAAGGGTTCTCAAGAAGGAAAAAATGCAGGCTTTAACAACAGGCCCAATATAAAAGCTGTGGTACACAAGAGAAAAGTTGGAGCCTTGTACAGAAGGGATTGTTTTAGAGTGGTCTGACTTTTTTTTTTTTTTCAGTAAAGGAACAGAGATCCTGTTTCTTAAAAGGAGGAGTTAAGATGTTGGATATAGCAACATACAGTATCACAAAGTTTGATTATATTAATTATGAAGCTAAAATGTCAAGATTTTAGTAGGGAGAACATGGGGCACAGTGAAAATAGGCAAATACAGAGGTATATGTATAGAATCTGAATTTCACCTCCTCCAAGTCACTCAATTGGAGTGTCCCTCTCAGTCTGATGGTTCTACCATTGGACAGTCCCACAAACTCAAATAATGCCTAGCCGGGCTTGAGTGAAGGGCTGTGATATATCCTGACAGCAAAAGATAGAAGGAAGCTCAGAATTGCTGGATGCTGTTATATATGTATACAATTTTATTTACGTGTATATTTATACATCAATATATACAAACATATATATTTGTATGATGTTTGGCAACCTCACTCATGGTATTCCTGTGAAGTAGGCATGTGGTAAACATAATTAGCCCATTAAACAGATGGTAGGGCTCTGGCATATCTCACCATATTCTAAAATGGTGGAGCTGTGAGCAGGGACTGAAGAGAGAGTGCAATTTGATATATGGCTAACTGCAAATCTCTGTGAATTGCTACTTTCCTAAAGACAATCTGGGTAGGCTGCATTTGGCTGAGAACTGGGGATAGTTTGGGAAGCTTTAAAAATATACAAGGGGACAACTTTTCACATTCATTCAGATATAGTATCTTCATTTTTACTTACTAGAGACTTTTTTTTTTTTAAAAAAACAGCTTTTTATCTTAACTCATCTGTGTTCCAAGCAAACTTCCAAATTGCTGAGCAGATAAAAAAAAAAAAAAAACAAAAAAAACACAACAAAAAAACCCCTACATGCCAAGTAGAAACACTGGGTAAATGTTATTTTTTAAAATTGTCTTAACAAAGTGCACTCTTGGAAAGGATAAAGTTGAAAAGATGTTTGGTACCATAAACACATAGCCGTCATTGTAGCACAGTGACCAAATATGTCCAAAAGCACACGCGATGAACTTTTATCCAGTTGAATTATACGACCATGGCATTGCCACACCATGCTACAGCTCGCTTTAGCGAGCCTGTAATTAAATACTCTAGCCCATTTCTTTGTCAATTGAAACAGGATCTAGCAGAAGTGAAAGAGTTACTAAAATTAAGATTTGAATTTACAAATGTATTTGAACTGGCTTCAAGAAGACATGAAACATCAATACATCTGGAGAATAGAACTTGCAATTGACTGTTCTTTACCATCTGGTCTCAAGAACATTTTCTGCTTGGAAGTTGCATAAGCAATGAAAAAACACACAAACAACTTCCTGTACCATGTTTTTGGTCACTTATAATGACGCATTACAAAGTAAACCAGCTAAATATGAGCAACTGTGCCTTACTCCAGATGAAAACATACATTATATAACTAAGATCAATGAAAAAAATCTTTAAGAGACCTGGACCAAAAACAAATATTCAAGAAAAAAACATCCTTCCTTCTATGGTGTTTATACTGAGTAGTTGGGGTTAGATTGGTTTATGGTGTCACTACAAAACCTTCCTTCAATTATTTTCTAATTTAAAAAAGATTTAAAACAAAGCAACATTGAAGAATGAAATGGTCCATATATTTTTTAAATACATAGACTTGCCTCTTTAAGCAATAAAATATATTCTAAGCTTTTTAAAATAGAAAATATATATATATATATCCCTGTTTTCTTAAACACAGTATGCTAATACCATTTAAAATTTTTTTATGATACAGGGTCATCCCTCTGAATATTCATTGTTCCTGTTTTTCAGTAATACACTTTTATTATTTCTCTTGAGAATCAGTCTCGTTCCTTACCACTCAGCCTAAAGGCCACAGACTGAGCTGCAGCCCACTATCCATTGCCAGAGACGACTGGCATCACTGTCCAGTTTTTCAGAGCCATCCCGTCTCAACCCTCTATGCTAGATAGATGTATTTTCTCATCTGCTTTGGATTGGAAACTCAGATAAAAGAGTGCTGTAGAGACAATATTACTTGAAAGCAGGGTTTGGGTGGAGACTTGGAGGAAACTCA